TCGTGCAGGCCACAGCACTGTTTCCATCCGTTTCTGTCTCTCGCTAACGTCTATCCACGATGTTGGTATTGAACTGAGGCGCGAAGTTCAGATCATTACCCATTACCAGATGAGAATCAAGCTGGTCCATCCCTGTAACGAACTTCTCTCGCGATTGGAGAGCCTTCTAATTCCATTTCCTAATCCTAGCAAAAAGCGTCTTCATGACTGAGTCTTCTTCTTGATTCGCAGTCCTATCTGCTTCCCTATCGTTTAGTTCCTTCAACATCGTCTCCGCCTCAGTGATTGCTTCGAAGGGAACAATGCCGTCCGCAAAACAAAGATTCAAAAGGATCTCAACTCTTACACCTCTCTCATTCCAATCCAGTGATTTCATCACCTACTGCAACGGGGGGTAGACAGCTCTGGCGACGCGTGTCGCCCTGTCGAATTCCCTTCGAGATTGGTTTGTTAAGGGGAAGATGGAAAAGCTGTACCGTTGTAGAGCAGTTCCTGCAGCAGTCAGCCAATGCTCTCACGTAAGATGGGTCCAGCCCTTGGTCGACGAGCGCTGACAGTATGGCAGTCTCCGCTTTCTCGTAGTCAACGAAGGTCAGGACGAGAGGTAGGCGATACTCTCGACAAACCTCGATAATCCGCGAAACTGTCTGGATGTGATCTACGCAGCTGAATCCCTGGCGAAATGCTTGTTCTACAGGTTGGGTTTCATCCAGTGTACTTGATATGCTAGCGAAAATAATCTTCGTAAAAAGGGCTTGTAAAGTTTTTTCTTTAGGCTGCTCACTTTTGCTCGAAGGAGGCGGTGATCTGAGCCACTACTGAAGGATGGTACCACTGAGACGTCCATTGAGCACCACCTTCGGTTTGTGGGAATGTGGTCGATCTCTGCATGAGTCGTACTGTTGACTCCCATGTCCACCACCGGTGTTCTTTCTTCATGAAGATGGAGTTGCCATGAAAAGCCGTGCGGCGGCAAGAGCCCAACAAGACGCTTACCATTCTCATTCCGCAGTCCTGATCCAAATCTTTCAATCCTGTGCTCCCCTTTTTTTGGCATCCCGATTTTTGCATTGAAGTCACCCACAACGAACTAATAGGAGAA